TTTATAGTTTTTTTTTTTTTTTTCTGAGAAAATATATCAAATTTGTTCTATATTACATGCCACAGTGAATGCCTCGTAAGGCATTACAATTGACAAGTTCGGATAACATCCTATGTGTACAACGAGCTTTAAAGAAGAGGCTCCATCTTTGTCTGTCAACATCTTTGTCTCAACAAGAGGTGGAGGAAATGGCAGATAAACTGTTTGATTCATGTTGGACTGATTGATTATTTTCCTAGCCAAAATGTGGACTACTTCATTTCCTAGCCAAGGCTTCTCATAGGGTATTGGAGAAGGCAGGAATTTTCTACCAAGGTTCCATAACACATCAAGTCCAGATCAATGGATGTCAAATTGTGGTGGTTGATGTGGTTTACACTTTTCTATCCACAGATAACATCCCTCCAAGCCCATGAATTTCAAGTTTTTATCTCTATCATCTGCAAGTTAAGCTCTTTTCTTTTCTTCAGTATTGGCATCCTTAGCTTTTTACTCTTGTATTTTTCAAACCTATTTTGAGAACGCTTTTCTTGAGCCGTGGGTCTATCAGAAACAATTTCTCTATCTCACACAACGTAGGAGTGAGTATGTTGTGGGTTCACATTGGGTATGTTGTTGTTAGTTGTTGATGTGCAAGTTAACCTCTTCTTTTTTTTCACTGTTTCATTTATGTAAGTAATGGTACAGTGGTGCCACTTGATCAAGACCCAATTTTTAAATTATTTTTTTTTGGGTTGAAAGTTCGAATTTCAGATGTGACATTCTTAAATTTTTCTAATCTTCTTAATTAGAATTCCTGGCTCTACCACTACTTTTGAAGTTTTAAAATGCAGCTTCGGATCTCCCTTTCAATTATGCAACCTATGATTTTTTAGTAGAATTCACTGCGACTTGTTGGCTAATGAGTATAAGGTTCTAGGAATAGCAAGATATGGTGACTTTGTTCCAAATCAAGTGAAATTGTGCTCCTTAAGAAGAATTCATGGAAAATAATTCAAGATTTCCCCTGCTTCCTTTTCGTTGCTTGGCCTGATTGCAATTTTCTCACTGGTGCATTTCATTTGTTTTGCCTGATTGTAGTATAAATGTGGATGAAGATGAAGTGATGTTGCTACGTTGTATTTATCAATTAAAATGGATATAAACAGACGAAAGTGCTCTTGAACTTCAAAAATACTGTTCCACAACTTAAGAAACATAAAAAAAATTAAAATTTGTAGTATTAAACATGTTATGATAAGAATCTTTGAAAGTATCACCGCAAAAAATGCATAAATAGATAGTGGAAATTTCAACGATCAGCTGGTTTCGGCAATTCAGACCAAGGCCCTTGATTTAGGTGTCCACCACAATTTCACATGCAAAAACAAATGATGCCCCACTGCCCATTGTCACAATTTAAAACCCCCCCTAGTCTTTGACTAACAATTCGTAAAGGTAGGTACTACTCCATTTATGTTACCATAGTATATAAAGCTTAGCTGAGCAACCTATAATCCATTAGAGCTCCAATTATTATGACTGAGATATCTGCTTCATACTGGAAATAGATATGGACTCCTCTAGAATTAGTCTGCGTCCATTTAAGTTAACGGACGTTGATGATATGATGTTATGGGCAGGCGATGATCGAGTAACTCGGACCATCCGATGGAACACTTTGACCTCGACAGAAGAAGCGTTGACCTTTATCAAGGAAGTGTGTCTACCTCACCCTTGGCGTCGATCAATATGCATCAATGACCGCTCCATCGGGTTCGTATCAGTATTTTCTGGATCAGGTGAACTTATTTTTTCTATTTATGCATTCATTCAGTATCTTTCTTGAGCCGATGGTATATCAGAAATAGTCTCTCTACCTCATACAAGGTAGGGGTAAGGTGTGTGCATACCTCACCCTCCCCAGACTCCACTTGTGGGAACACATTGGTTATGTTGTTGTTGTTGCATTTATTCAATCACTAGACCAACTAATTCGGATTCTCTAAATCAGGTGATGATAGAAGCCGAGGTGATGTAGGATATGCTATTGCAGTTGAATATTGGGGGCAGGGGATTGCTACAAATGCAGTCAAAATGACAATCCCTCAAGTATACAATGACTTTCCTGAAATAGTAAGGCCTCAGGCATTAGCTGATGTTGAGAATAAGGCATCCCAAAGGGTATTAGTGAAGGCTGGGTTCATAAAAGAGGGCATATTGAGAAAATATGGCTACCACAAGGGGAAAATAGTGGATCTGGTGATGTACAGTCTCTTATCCACTGAGTCTGATATTTAACAGTCTTGTTTTGCTCTTTACTATGTAAAGATCTTTTTGTGTATTGACTGGAACTCGGCAGAGTTTCACTCTCCAAATAAAAGGGCATTCAGGTTTTCTGTTTTACATAGTATCAACTAAGTCAAATGTGATCTTCAGAATGGGTACTATCTGTTTGTTTGACAATAAATTTTGACGCCACAGAATATGATAAATTGTTTATCGCTCTCAGTTAAACTCATTGAATTAGGTGTAATGAAACAGAAAATGCTGTGAAATATTAAGGGATTGTGGTAAAAACATTTAGGTCAGATCAGATGATACCCTTATACTGGTTTGATGAAAGTGCCAGAGAAGTAATAGTATGACTAACTGAGCTTTGCAATCGTATATTAACTAGAGAAAAGATGTCAAACGAGTGAATATAGCGCGAGTTAGATAAAAATGATATGGTGTTAATTAACCACAAATAGCTCGAAAGTCAACCAAAAGAGTGGGGGTCTCAAGTAATAGCAATATGACATATACATGCACTATATCAAATAGCTTTCATAAGAAGGATTAAGGTGAAGAACGATTAGACGAAATTGTAATGCCCAAGTGAAAATAATCCACATACCAGGACTCCATCTTCAAATAAAATGACATGATGAACAAGAACATAATAAAAACTCGAAAAATGACTGAAATTGAGGAATGCGATGTGATGGGAAGATTACCTTCCAAAATTCCAAGGCAAATTCTATAGAATTACATACTATATGCAATCGAATGTTAAGAATCCAAGGAAAACATATCCAAATGTCATAAAAACGTGGACATTAAGATGGATATGTCTTCATACTCGCAAAAGATTAGAGATCATTACATACGACAAATGGTGCAAAAAGAAGGCATCAAAGAGAAGAGATAAAATTATATTAAAAAGTTAATGCTCTACGCCGACTTGCACATGCATCAGTCCGGAAGTAAAACATTATGACGAACAAATGTGCTAAAAGAAGACAGAGGTACCAGAACTCAGAAAAATTAACTTAAAAAAAAAACACCCTCTCTCTCTCTGAATAAATACAAATTCAACTAAGAATAGAACACAACGCAATCAAAGGACTCAGAGGTGAAACCAACCAACTAAAATCAGAACTAAGTTGATTGTTACTTGTATTGGCTGTTAGTATTTGCCAAGAGTTTTTCTAGTCTTCTGTCAGAATAAAGACATATATCACATTGTTAAATTGATATGTAAAAGCAAGATCTGATAAATAACCAAATCATACCACATCTTTCTTACTCATCAAACAAGACGATGATCACACGAGCAGGCTACCTGAAGATATTAATCTTTTTTTCGCTTTTCAAGTATCGATACAGTGCAGACTTGCCAAAGGGATCAATGATATATTCGTTATAACTGGCAACTTAGCCACTGTTGTATAGACTATACAGGGATCATGCGATAAGTGATTAAGGGCACCACCCCATTATTTTGAGGGGGCCTCAACCAAGGAATTTATGTCATTAAGAATATACAACTCAAAAGGACAACTGCTCCCTTCGGGATCAACTTATACACAACCACTATACAAGAAGAGTTGCACGTAAACGACACATTTCAATAGCAGTATAGCACTACCAAGGTCGCTTTTACTTTTTCTTCCTAAAGCACCTCTCTGAGGAACAAGCATCATCTACTCCTTTGCCCAAAAGACAGTCTCTGTTCTTTCGTCTTGCATAGGGACGAAACGAAAACCAAACCTTCTTTTTCCCAGATATAAAATGACCGGCCAACATTAGCACTTAGGGAACTGGAAAATTTACGGGGTAGAATTTACTGAGATTTCCTGTGGCAAATGGGAGCTGGGCTGATCCACATAGGAAGGAATGATAAGACGTTGCAATGGTGCTAAAGCCACTGTTAGCTGAGCAAATGATGGACGCAAGTTTGGATCACTGGAAAAAAACATGTACAAGATAATTTAGCATTTTGTGTCTTGAAGGAAATAAACAAAATTATAAAGAATATAACAGGTGCATGTCACTCTCACGTTTGCCAACATTGCCATATTATTCTTGCTACAATAGGATCAAGTTCCTTTGGAATCTCGAGACGTTTATTCTGGAAGCCAACAGCTCCCACCACTTGCATAGGGTTCATCCCACTCCAAGGTAGTCTTAAGGTAGCAAGTTCCCATAGAATGACACCAAAACTGTAGATGTCACACCTATCAAGTGACCAAAATGTTAAGCCGATGAGAGCATAGAACTCAGCAACTACAAAACCTGCTGTAAAATAGATGCAGGTAGCAAGCTTTGCCATCTATGAGCTCATTTCTTTTTTGGAGAAGGATTTATGAGGTCACTTCCTTTCTATGCGACCAATAATTCCATCCTATGAAACCAAGAAGAATTCCAGAAGAAAGCAAAATGTTCATTCAGGAAACCATGTTTAGTTCAAAATATTATGATAGAGTTAAAAGAGTTCAGCAAACAATTACGCCACTATGATTCGTTAGGTTATATGAAGTTCGGAACTACATAACCAAGAATTCTATCCTGGATGACCCCATTTTTTTTCTGATCAGGAATGACCCCATTTTGGAATATATATAAAATAATTTTAAAGCTGGCATTTGGATCCCAGGCAGTGATGAAAAGTGTTCATTTTCCATATTTGCAGAGATGGTGCAGCAGTCCAGCTCCATGGGCATTAATACTATTCCAAAACTCATCTTTCAGCCAAGTAGGAATAGTATTTAATGAAAAACTTTCCCCCTTTTAGGGTCTTATCCAATGTACTATAGGTCGTTAGATTGTTCCACATTGACAGAGTGAAAGGGATGTGTCTTCTTTTATGGTCTTGGGAATCCTCATCCTTGAACTTGCTTTGGGCTTGAGTTACCTAAGGTCCATTTCCATAAGTGCTATCATATATTGTCCATGCTCAAGATGTACCGCCCTGGGCATGTGACGAGGTATTAGATTGTCTTACATTAGTCGAGGCAATGAGTTGTTCTCTCCTTTTATGGTTTTAGGCAATCCTCACTAATGAGCTAGCTTTTGGGGTTTGTGTTGAGCCCAAAATCTATTTTGACAAGCATGTTTAACATGAAGATTGACATAAAAACAAAAGGCTCCAATTTGTAAAGAAAATAGAACTACAAGAATATCTAGCACAAACTATGAGCGAGAACATGGAGTTAGTAGAGTAATTCTTAACTCACTTCTCATTTGAAGGTTCATTGCGAAGAACTTCTGGCGCCATCCACTCGGGCTATGAAAAGAAAAAAAAAACTAGGTTAGAAAATAAGAAAGGAAGTGAAGAAATAAGATAATTAGTATCCAAACTTAATGATAAGGGTAACACATCTAAACAATTGAAGATATATTAGTCTCACCGTTCCAGCTGTTGATTTGGATGACAAAAATGTGTTGTGCTTCAAGCGAGACAAGCCAAAATCACATACCTGCATTTCAAGATTCAGAGTCACATCCCTCCCGAGACATCCCATAAATTAAGAAATAGGTCAGAGAAGATTCAGAGTTACTAATAGAAACAACCACAACCAAGTAAACTCCCCTTCAAAATGAAAATAATCACATTAGTGCATTACTTTCTTTTCATTTTTCTGCCCTAAATTGTAGAAATGAAAAAGAAAAGAAAGAGGGGCTATAACTGTTTGCTCAAAGATTAACACAGTTTGTGAGCATTTCACTGAAGCAATACAGGTTTACAACCAGCTCAACAAAACAAAAAAGATCAATTTTTTTTTATAACCGAAAATTCCCTGAGGGCCAGCTGGCACACAATTCAAAACTCGACAAATAATGGGACCATCCCTCCCCTTTTCTCCACTTAAATACCCGACTATTTAGTCCACCACGGGGTTCAAACTCGTGACGTGTGCTTATCCACACATCATGCACTGCGCTCTTACTATTGAACCAAACACCAAGGGAAAAAATAATAAATTTTGCTCTCTCACCAATGACATAAGTTCATGCAACGTAAAAAGAAGGAAGATACAAACATTTGAAAGCGAATTACCTTAACAGTCCAGTTCTTATCAACCAAGAGATTAGGTGACTTCAGATCACGGTGAACAATTGTAGGGTTGCTTGTATGTAAGCAATCCATGCCCTTTGCCTGCACAAGAGGAACCTCTAAGATCAACATAAGCAAAAGAAATGCTGATCAATTGGTCCGAAGCACCAAGCCAATATTGATCAATTAAAGATGCTGCTGGATCATACCACATCAAGAGCCATTTTGATTCTCCTCCTTTCATCAATTTGACAATGAGGACGATGAATTATCCGATATAAGCTACCTCTGAAAAGCATGATTTTTCAGATGAGTAATTCCTCTTTCACAGGAAAATTTTCAAAAAGCACTAATTGCTTGCCAAAATTAGATATTATTTGATGACTAATCAATGTTTGGCTGAAAGAGACTTCAACACTTAGCACTTGTAGAACCACATATCAAACACAAATCACGAAAGAATATAGCATTCATCTTTGTAGTTTTCATGTCATATTAGAGAGGGCTCTCAAAAAATACATCACATGGAAACAATTATAAGGTGAGATAACCAAAGTTTTATTCTACATAAAAATTAATCCAAATGGTAAACCTGCTTTTCATTGATTTACCATCCACAAAATGCTAATAAAGACACCTAAAAGAAAATTCATGTTATGGCTTAGTGGACATGAGACTTACGCGGTAAGCCTCGCTTATTTCAATTTAATGAAGATCCGGATCATTCAAATCTTAGCTCATTAAGTGTATTGTTTTTCCCCTCTTTCACAAACACTTACTGGTCTGAATAAGTTTGATTCATTCAAAGCTAGTACATTGTTTTAAAATCATTAAGATGCTGTTCATTCAAAAATTCATCTGAAATGATGTTTTATGTGTAGTAAAGAATTTGCATCGAGTGCTTGGGCTTGCGCCATTTATTTTCAACAAAAGTACATCAAAGGAGAGACGTCCATGTAGCATAGCATTCAATAAGTTGAATGTGATAATAGCCAAAAGCTTACTAATTATGGCAAAATTTGAAGGAAAAAGGGAAGGCGAATCAAAATACAAACATACCGCGGCAGGAACTCAGTGATAATAGAAAGGTGGGGTGGCCGAGTAATAGCACCCATAAAANATATGAACCTGAAAATGGGACCAGAAAACTTCAGTATGAAGAAGACATACTAAGAGTAAAACCACAATTTTACCTACAAGCATTCTTACTACAATCCATTTTTGTGGATATCGATGCAGCATATTTAAAAATAAATAAGTAAGAACAGAATATCAGAATTATGACTGCTTCCAGAGAAATATCCCAATAGAAAATCTAGATGTATAAACAAATAATTAAGTGGATAAAGCATGATTGCATCCCTTTAGATGGAGATGCGAAAGTATGTTGAGGCCCTTTGCTTTTCACCTTTATTAACCAAGCAACTGAGTATCTCCAACAAAATACTAAACCTAAATTAAGTAATTAACAGACATCCACTCTATTCACTTCTCCATGACAAACATTAGATAGAAATTTCCAAAATGTTTCAAATTTATTATTCATTTCTCGATCCAATATATGGAAGGGAATGGAGTACAGAGGTAAAAATGTATATGGTAAATTTAATATTTTTATTGGCCCCACACAAACACACGGAAGTATAAATCGTAATGAAACTTTAGGCTGAGACATAGTTGTTGTATAAATATAAATGCATGAGGTTTTAATGCATTTGCACAATATCATCCAGCATTATCATTGCAAGATATTTCAGTCAGGGCAAACAAAGGATTACCAAGACCAATCCTCTCGCCAATGACAAGATCTTCCCATGGAATTTCGCAATCACCAACATCATCAAATACAGGATCAACCTGACTTCGACCTAAATCGCCTGAAGAAGTTGGATATTCTGGCTCCTTCAATTTTATATTTGTTCCCGTTGGCTGAGCTTGCAAATTTCTTATGTGATCACTTTCCAGGATAATAGCTTGTCCGTGTGCCTGTGTCCTATTTAACTCATCAGTCTGCAAAATGTGCCCCTCCCATTGACTTGTTTCTCTATTATTGCTTTGACCGTCCTGAACAGACAACCTTCTAAATTCAAGATCAGCTGATAATTTGGAACTGTTATCCTGGGTGGAAGTAACCCCTTCATTTCCTCTATAGGCAGGATGTGAGTTTCCATGAAACCTGGAGGTAGTATCAGGGGAAGATTTCTGTGGTATGTTTGAGCTGGTAGATGCTATTGATGATGTATTATAGCCACTAGATCCACAGCTCTTCTTCGGAAAAAGTGCCTCAGAATCAGAATCGTTTTTCCAGGGGACCTCATTGTGTGCATACCGATTTTTCCACATCATAGGGGCAGGAGGTCGTCCAGTGACCAAAGTATTTTTCGGCTGTTGCAATTCACTGACTTTGTTTCTTGCAGGGTTTTTCTGTATCAATGTATTGCCAGAGCCTTTTACTTGAAACGGATTAAGATCAGCAAAAAGATTTTTCGGGTCCTCAGGGTTATTCTGATCATAAGGAACCACATTTACATTCAACCTCAAGCCATCACCAGCCGCATTGGGTCCACGGCCCCCTTTGTACAAAGAAGTTCCAATTGCTAATGGCGAAGTCCAATCGACCTGATTTGAAGAAGATGGTCTTTTACTGATTGCCGAAGAACCAGGGGTGGAGCTACCACCTGCATCTGAGATTGAATGAACTGAATCTGTCTTCTCAGGCCTAGACCTATTAGAGAAATCATCTCCTAATCCAGAATTTTGACCAGATAACAAGTTCAGCCTCGGGTAAGAAACTCTAGAATCATTATTGGACGGAAAACTTGGAATCTTGTTCAATTTTGGACCATATGATTTAAAAGAAGCATCCTTTGTACTCAGAACATCAGCTGGTATAAGTGTGCCAGGTGCTCCCATGAGATCAACCAAAAACTCGCTGAAGGCAAAGAATTGATTTAGAGGCTGAAAATGTAGAGAGATATGCGACAAGAGCAATTAATCACAATTGTTGCAATACATGCATGTGTGTGCAACTATGCAATTGAAGCAACTAAAGCTTCGGGTAGTAAGAGTAACAATTTGAAGCTGCAGATGAAGAAAGATCATGTGTCTCATGGGATTGCATAGATGACTATAGCTCGGAACACTTAAAGCAAATGACTTTGGATACAGTCTAAGATAGATCAGATGATATTCATGAAAAGCAAACTCAATTACACAAAGACATGCAAGCACATGAAGACAACTACTCCATTTATTAGGGACAGATTGTCCATGTTTATTTTGTTGTCCAACAATAACGTATCATGTTATAGAAGAGACTTCTAACGTACTATACCATCCCTTTTATTGACTTAGTTTGACACAAATGTTAGAAGTGTGAGTTGTTCAGCCCCCTCCCCCGCGGGGGGGGGGGGGGG